CGGTTAAATTATATTTCATGCAAACACAAGGAACATGGATGTACAGATATATTGACAATGATCACTTCTAGGCTTTTTGCCTGGAACCTGAGGCCTAAGACCAATTCTGGAGTGAGAGGTTTGTACAGCCACTAGGTAATTAATCTACACCATGCGTGTCCAACCTTTTGGGTTCCCTGAGCAAAGAGGAATTATCTTGGGCCACTCCTCAAATATATAATATAGTTAATGTAAATAAGTAATGCAAATTTAAAATCCCTTTTCTTAATTTTGATATTTTAATTGTTTAGTAGATAACTCAATTATTTGTTATCCTTATGTGGGATTGCCATATTTAAGGATACAGAATTAGGGAGCTATCTATGAAACACATACACATGTATATACAGATACACACATAACCACAGAAATACACACACAAACACACATACAATCACAGACCTATACACACAATGACATACATAAACGTACACATAATCACAGATACACACACAATCACAGAGCCACACATACAATGACAGACCTAGACACGTAATCACATACATACACTCACAGAATCACAGATGTACACACACAGGCATACACACACAATTATTGACCCACACATACATACAATCACAGACCTATACACACACATAATCACAGATATACACACACAATCACAGACCCACATACCATCACAGACATACACACACATGCAATCACAGACCTATACAAACAATCACATACATGCAAACACATAATCACAGACATAGACACACACACACACACACACACACACAGTCACAGACACACACAACACACACACTATCACAGACACACACAGTCACTGACATACACAAACAAAAGTGTGCAGAAAGAGCACAGTTTGTAAGCAGCTCCTTCCCTCCTGGCAACCGGGTCGCAATACTAGCAGTTTCGGTCCCCAGATTGGACAAGCATGAACTATACATATTAACGTGGGTGCCTTGATTGTGGCACTAAAATTATTATTTTTTATATATTTTCTGTAATATTCCCAGTGTTGTGGTACAGACAGGCTGGTAATTACTTGATACTAACAAAAATAAAGACAGGTAGCAATCATCACTCGATAGTTTAAATTCAGAGCATAAAATATTTAACAATACAGAAGCCGTGCATGTTCACCTTATATATTTGTAAATGCTATGGCCCTAATTTATTATTTTTGAAAAACTTATCAGAGAATTTGACTTTTGGGGATAATCCTTTAAAAAAAAATTTTTTCAATATTAAAAATATACCAAAAATATCAAAATATTACAGTATTTTTCAATATATTGAATAATTTTAAAAGTTTATCCAAAATTGTGAAATCAATGGAAAAGCTTAGTCAAAAATATTATGTGTCTCTCATTTACTTGCTAATGGTAACTGTTTGTCAAATAAAGATTATGTACTATTTTCCATCCATATAGCACTTCCTGTTACTGCCATTTCCCCCATGGTTTTGGACAGGAAAGGGACTTCAAGCTTGCTCTGAGACTAATCTCTAATTCTCATACAGTATGTAAATGTGTCAGTGAAACCATTGAGGAAAGTTAACAAATGCTCATCCTTCAATGGCCATATTTTGCATGCACATCTCTTGAAGTGGCACTTTTTACTTGCATCCCAAAAAATGCAAACCACTAGTTTTTCCCCAAACCCTCAAACTCTTAAGCCAACACCCCTTAATGTTATAGGAGCTCTCACCTCAAGTTTTGTTTACATAAATAAAGTTAAAGCTATTCAAAATAGATCAATATAATTTTCGCCAAGCTATACATTTTGCAGTAACCACAGCTTGAGAATATGGCAGTTTTCAAGTAAGTCTTCAGAGAGCAGCCACATCATTTCATTGTATAAGGGAGAGAAAGTACTATATGTACAGAGGAGCTGTCTAATGATGATGCATGCCTAAGTTGCCCACATAAAGCCCAGGTTAATTAGACAGCTTTTTATTTAAAAATAAATAAATAAATAAAAAAAAAAAAATATATATATATAATGGTTTGAAAAATGATCAAAGAACCACTTTAAATACGAACAATTTGTTTTCCTGAAATAAGGAAGACCTAATACCACTGAAACTGCCTGTACTCAAATTTTATTTTACATTTATTTATTTTGTTCCTCTCTCACAGAATTGTATTGACTGCATAAATATATATATTCCTTTTTATTGTCATAGATGTCATAGTTACAATCAGAGAGGTTATGTTTATAAAGTCATTTGTGAACTGATGCCAACTTGACTTGAATGTACAGTTTGTTTGGAAGGATTTGGCTATTGAACTATTACCATATGACTGGGATAATGAGGTATTTTAATAATTAAATCTCTGTAGCTTGTTACAAAACCATACCAGAAGCACATTATTTACTACTCATTTATGTTTTAACACTGTAGACAAAAATATATATATTTTTTCTGAATAAGTTACAATAAACAGATGACTTTAAACATATTTATTATATAATTGAAAAAATAAGCTAAATATGTGACATTGTGACATAGGGATTGTTCAGTTAGCAGTCAATTAAAAACTTGCTGCAATGCAGAAAGATACAGAGCAAAAAAATAGAAGAATTAAAATAAATCTAAAACTCTACTTTCTAAGATTTTAGTTTTCCAACTTATTAATTTATCCTATTTTTAATTTATTATGAACTTTCTTGATAGGCAGCTTACCACATCTCACTGTTTAGCAAATAATAATTCTGGTTTAAAATAAAATAAAATACATGGTATAAATATTATACCAAGTTAAATTTGAAGCGTATACTTTATGATTTGTAAATGCAAGTAACCTAAAATAAAAAAACACCTAAATTCATGTCAAGCATTTTTTATCATATTTTTTATCACGCCACAGATGGTGGCGGGAACAGTTGGAGAGGTCATTTGGTTAAAGTAGTGATGGCTCTCTTAAGTACCACAGAGGTTTATGAACCACATTTCCCATTGGTTTATAGCAGACAAAAAATGTCTGTGCCATCATTTTGACTGGTTGAGCATCAAAGCAAATGCACTTCAGAAACATCTGACACCATCTGAGGTGTGTGTATGTGTGCGTGCGTGCATGCGTGCGTGCGTGTGGTGTGATCTATGAGACTTCTAATGTGATATATTTCTTAAAGTATTGTTATTTCTTTCAACTCCCTGACTGCAGCGTAGGAACCAGATTCCCTTTATCCTGATCAAATGTGTCCCTCAGCTTGGTTTGTGTATTTCTAAGGTTGATATGAGGTATCTGAGGTAGAAATTGATTTTGACACTCCTGTCTGTATAGTACAATATGCCCTTGGATGGTTGTACTAAAACTGTTGGCAGCTGCAAATGAGAGATTCATTTCTACTGAAACTTTAATGCACATCTGCAGGTTGCAATTGAGAGTTATGTCTGTGCTGTCCATGTGTCCTGTTTCATCTTGCTTTTCTTGCATGCAATTTCTTTAAAGTATAATACATCTCTCTTGTGTAACTAGACTTACAGAAAGGCAATGTATTACAAGAGTTCTTTGTTATCACTAAAATAATCTGTATGTGTAAAAAATTACTTTATATGTTTAATTTATTATATAGACAATGCATTGAAAAACTTTGGGAAACAGTTTAAAGCAAAGAAAAAGTAGATTTTAAAGTGTTCTTTTGTGTGTTATTTGGACAATCAGGAGTGTCTCATTCTGATTTATGGTGGTTAATTTTACCCCAAACTTACCTATCCAGCAGTGGACTATGGGAAAAGCGGTGTTCAGTGAAGGTGAAGAAAAAAGGGGAGGTCAGCACAATTGGATATCCAAAGGGGCAGTGTAACATTAACAGAGTATTAGAAATGAGTGTATGACCAAAATGTCAGTCCTTTTAAAAAGGGTACTAAATTAAATTAATCTGTGATGTCAATGTAATAGTACATCACAGATTAACATAGGATAAGTAGGGACTAAGGTTCTAGCATATTGATGCTCTAACAAAGGTAAAGGCAAAGGTAGTCCACAACATCTGCAGTGCCAAAGGTAGCCTAATAATTCGAGGTGGATTCTTCATTAGAATGTTAGACGTGTGTGACCAATCTCACATACAGTTCAACTCACATTTTCTGCATGGCATTCTACCATTTGTCTATGCCTTATGGAAAACACACCGGTTATTTTATAAACTTACCAATGACATTCACACTCACGAGAACAATACTAAACTTTGAAGAAATACAATGTAAAATATAAAAATATAGACCAAAGTATGCATGTCTCAGTCTGTTTCTTCTTTTTCCTTACACAGTAAGAAGTGAGACCAATTGCACGGCACCATGGAAGATGGGAAGCCAGTGTGGGCGCCACATCCGACAGATGGATTTCAGTTGGGTAATATTGTTGATATCGGACCAGATTCCCTGACTATTGAGCCCTTAAATCAAAAGGGAAAGGTATGTTACCAATTGCAGATATGTAATTGAATTTATTACATTCATTTAAATTTGTTATAATGTATAAAATGTATTTCATGTATTTGGGATCCCATTTCAAGTCCAGTTCTACAAGCCAAATCTAAAAATACAGACCAAAACTAATTAATTTATTTGTTTATAACATTTATTGTTCTTGCCCATCAATGGAAAAGTAGCTAATGAAGATGCATAAGTAAGAATCTAAAAATTAAGTGAATGGATAATTTGGTTACATGATTAGTAAATACTAATATAGTAAATATGAGTAAAACTTATTTTTTTAGTAGCACTGTCATTTTTGACAAATGGAATCATTGGAAAGATTATGTAAAACTAATAAAGACTATGCTAGAACGCTATTGAAGTTTTAACATCAATTTAAAAGGGATACTGTAAGCACCTAAACAACTTTAGCTTAAAGGGACACTCCGGGCACCAAATAAACTGGCCCTTGGAGCCACTCTTACCTTAAGGGGTTAAGCCATCCTTGATCTGGTTAACCCCAAAGTTGCCTCCAGTGGCAATGTCCATCCTCCTCCAAGTCGGATTCAGCTGACGCTCTCAGCCAATCAGTGACTCCCCATTCACTAAATTTACTTGGAAGAAACTTAAATTTTCCAAGACAGTTTAGTGAATGCGGAGTCACTGGTTGGCTGAGAGCGTCAGCTAACTGCTTTTTTTTCTTATTATTTTTATACTGTTGACAATATTATTTTCTGCTCATTTAGGGGATTATATTGTCTTGAGTCCCCTGGCACCATATTTCTATTTGTTTTTAAACCATTCAAGTGTTTTAATTCTAAATAAGAGTTCTTAGCAGCCCATGCAATATGAGCAGCATGAATTAATAAGGAAGCATTAGCCTAAGCAGCAATGGTTGGCTGTGATTGGATGAGAGTGCCAGATATCTGCTTTCATCCTATCACAGAGCCCATTGGTGATATGAACTGATATGTCCAAAAAGAAGTATGTAATCTCTGCCCTAGCCATACCCCGAGAAGTTTCCAGGATGTGTGTAGCCAGGGACACTTATTTAGTGTTAAACTGCTCAAAATAGTTAAACACTGAATGGGGAAACAGTACCAAACAATAAGTTTAAATAGTTATGGTAATTACAGTGTTCCTTTAAGGAGGTATATCATGGCATATATACATGGGAAGGTACACAAAACCCATATTGTTTTAATTGTTTTTCACTGTCATATTTAATTTTTGGTGAAGAGTACAATTTTTCTTTGATCTGGTTGTTTGTTATATAATGTTGACATGGATTTTCATGTAAAACGTGCCATTTATGATTACACCTCACATATTATTATTGTTTATTGCACAGACATTTTTGGCTGCTATAAACCAAGTATTTCCTGCAGAAGAAGACAAAAACAAACATGTAGAAGACAACTGTGAGTATAAAATACAAGTTATATATAGTTGTAATTGAACAAACTACACAACTTTCACTGATATTCATTTATATTAAGTGTCTTAATTATCCACTAACTATACTTATGTCGACCTCTTTTAATGTCCAGAATTGGCAAATTTGTTCAGTAAACAGTTTTACTTAGGTCCTAGATACATTCTCTAGAAATGTAGGCCCATGCTAACTTGATGGCTGTTGCAAGTGTTTTAGTCACATCTTCATTGCAGACTTCCAGGGTAATTTACTAAAGGATTGAGAATTCAAAGTGAATTTCAAATGTAAGGTCAAAATAGCTGAACTAAAAATTATGCCTGAGCTAGTTGTTATTTCAGCTATTGTGCCCTTAAATTTGGAATTCACTTTGAATGATCAATTTAGAAAATAATACTGTTTGTGTTCTACACCTTTCCAACGATGCTTGAGATCTGTTGACTGTGTAGGTCATGGAAGTATGCTGATGACACACTGATGTCTGTTGAACCAGCTTGACTGAGATGATGGTTTGTTATATTGAACTTTACATTCCTAAAAATATCCATTTGAAAATAGGTATACTGTGGTCATGAAGGGATGTGCATGGTCATTTTAGATAAGCTGTTGCTTTCGGTTGATTCTCAGTTGGTATTGAGGGACTTAAAGTTTTCCACCACCAGTGTGTACTGTTTTCTCAAGGCATGATGGATCTTTGGAGTCATCCATGACACATTCTCACCCTACCATCTGGAAGTTGTTTAAGAAATCAGGATTAACCAGACCATGCCACATTTTTCTAACCTAGTTTTGGCTATGTTGTGCTCTATATACAGTTGTGCTCAAAAGATTGCATACCCTGGCAGAGATTGTGACATTTTGGCACTGATTTTAAAAATATGACAGATCATGCAAAAAAAAAAAAGATAGTGATCATATGAAGCCATTTATTATCACATCGTTGTTTGGCTCCTCTTTAAATCATAATAATAACAGAAATCAGACACAGAAGGTGACACACAGGTTAAAATTGCAATTAAATGTTAATTTCCCACACCTGTTGCTTTTTAAATTGCAATTAGTGTCTGTGTATAAATAGTCAATGAGTTTGTTAGCTGTCACGTGGATGCACTGAGCAGGCTAGATACTGAGCGATGGGGAGCAGAAAAGAACTGTCAAAAGACCTGCCTAAAAGGGTAATGGAAAAAGTCAGTACTGATCAATCACTTATTAAGAAGTGGAAAATTCGGGGATCTCTTGAAACCAAGACAAGGTCAGGTAGACCAAGAAAGATTTCAGCCACAAGTGCCAGAAGAATTGTTTGGGATTCAAAGAAAAACCCACCGGTAACCTCAGGAGAAACACAGGCTGCTTTGGAAAAATACTGTATGGTTGTTTCAAGGAGCACAATATGATGATACTTGAACCAAAATAAGCTGGATGGTCGACTTGCCAGAGAGAAGCTTTTACTGTGCCAATGCCACAAAAAAGCCAGATTACAATATGCCCAACAAAACCTTGCCACGTCTCACAGCTTCTGGCACACTGTAATTTGGAGTGACGACACCATGTGAAGCATGGTGGTAACTCACTGATGTTTTGGGTGGTGTGAGCTCTAAAAGCACAGATAATCTTGTGAAAATTGATGGCAAGATGAAAGTAGCATGTTATCAGAAAATACTTGCATGCATTTTTGAATTATTCTGAATGAAGGCTGTGCATGGGATGCTCTTGGACTTTCCAGCATGACAATGACCCTAAGTAGAAGGCCAAGTTGACCCTCCAGTGGTTACAGCAGAAAAAGGTGAAGGTTCTGGAGTGGCCATCACAGTCTCCTGACCATAATATTATTGAGACACTGTGGGGAGATCTCAAACGTGCAGTTCATACAAGACAACCAAAGACTTTGCATGACCTGGAGGCATTTTGCCAAGACAAATGGGAACATACCACATGCAAGAATTAGGGGCCTCATAGACAACTATTACAAAAGACTGCACGCTGTCATTGATGCTAAAGGGGGCAATGCACAGTATTAAGAACTAACAGTATGGAGACTTTTGGACAAAGGCTCATTTCATTTTTTTCTTTGTTGCCCTGTTTTGTTTTATGATTGTGCCATTCTGTTATAACCTACAGTTTTGTATGAATCCCATAAGAAATAAAAGAAATGTGTTTTGCCTGCTCACTCAGATTTTCTTTAAAAATGGTACATGTATTAACGATTCTCCAAGGGTATGCAAACTTTTGAGCACAACTGTAGTCTAATTGTCTTTTTCTCAAGCAACTTTGTGAATGAGGAGCTATTGACAGGCTTAAAATCAAGTGACGCTCTCAGTCAATCAGCATCACCCCCGTTGAAGACTGTCTGAGATTTCCTCATTCAAGTCTCAGACAAAAGCAGGAGGAGTTGGGTGGAGCTAACTAGCACTGGATTCAAGTTTGGAGTTAAATCCTTTGTTAAAGGTTTAAGTCCTAAAGCTAAGCAACCTAATGAAGGTTGTTATGGTGCCGAGCCTGACCCTTTAATAATAATGATCTAAATCCACATCTTTTACATTTGGTTCTATTAGTAGAAGGTAATGTAACTTTTTATAAATGTTTTATCAAAGTAGTCCCTAGAGGATTTAAAGGACTGAAGCCCCACTATGGGTGTCATTATCACCTAATCCCTTCATTTTAGTGGTGAATGGATTCAGTGTGCCACTCGTGCAATTTTTCATACAGGCGATACTCGAAACATTAAAATATCGGGCAAAAGTTCATTTATTTCAGCAATGCAATGTAAAAGGGGAAACTAATATAGGAGATAGACGCATTACATGCAAAGCAAGATAGTTCAAGCCGTGATTTGTCATAAGTGCGATGATTATGGCCTCTTGTCAAGCCACTCCTTTTCGAGTATCACCTGTATATGCAGGGTCCTCAACCCCTCTGTTCCTGTGTGTCCAACTTGTCTGGTTACAACTACAGGTCTGTTCGTCCACCCGTTGTAAAGCGCTGCGGAATTTGACAGCGCTCTATAAATATCATAATAATAATAATATCAGGTGCCTGCAAAGCAGCCCAGTAAAAAGGTAAAAAACAAAACCAAAAAAAAAAAACCATATTGCAGCTCACCTGGCCCTCTCTTCAGTAACATATGGTCCCTCTTTCAGTGATTACTAAGATTCAGGCAGGGGTGAAAAGGGGAGAGTTTGAGACACAGGCTTATTCATTAAGAGATAATTCAAAGTGAAATCAAAGAGAATATCAAATTTAAAGTAAAAAAGTCGAACTGGAATAATTCTCTAAGTCAGCTATGCTTTCAGTTTGGTTACTTACTTTAGTAATTAACCCTGTTAATGTTAGTGGATATAAAATGTCCTCTGCTGTGTGATCATGCATTGTATCATTAAATGACAGCCTGGGAAAAGAAAATTACCAAGTTTAAGTAGAGGGCAATTGAGAAATTGGTTGGTGGCTTTAGTTGACAGGCTATGGAGGAGGAGTCATTAAGTTTTGCTCTAGACTCAAGCTGAAAGTATTTTGGTACCTCTTTTGGTCACGGTTTTAAGCATTGCTCCTAAATATTGTACATAATATCGGCACCATGACGTCTATAGCACATTCTAGTGCAAAAAGGCTCTTTGGGTACAACCCACTAATATTTAGAAAAAACTATTTCAAGAGGCTTGGCAAAAACCTGGGTTTTTCTTGGAACCTAAAACCCAGTTCCCCACTTGCTGTCTGTATAATGCATGCATTAACTTCTACATTATTGCCCCAGACTTGTGCAGCAGTGAGTCATAGTGTGAAAACACTCATAAAACAAAACTTACAATACACAAACAATATTGCCAAACTGAAAGAAATGAATCAAGTTATACAGAAGCATATTTATGGACATTATCTTATACAAAACATATTCAATGCATCTAAGCATTTTGTACAAACCATCATATATATACACTTCTTGTTTCTAATTACTGATGTTATAATAGATTTGTGAAAACCTGCTGTTTTCATTATTTAACTAAATCAGATGTTAGTCATATATCAGTGCTCCATATGCCTCTATCAGGACTACCTGAATGTGAACATCTGCCTTCAGTAGTACATGGTTGCTGTTTAGAATAGCTGAGCCATTATTAGTTACCATATGACAAAGCAGGACAATTCCGGGCTGTTGGTGGATGCTTTAGGCAGGATTAAAGGTTACCGTTCTAGATAAATGACACCGCTGCCTCTGGATTTGATATATCAATTATCACTTTTATCATGGTTAAAATGTTATGGGAAAACCTGCATTATTTTTTT